AAAAAGTTAATATTGGTAAGACGAAGGTAATGGTGAGTGGGGAAGGTGGGGAACGAGTGATAAGTAAAATAGACCCCTGTGGGGTATGTGATAGGAGAGTGAAGGCTAACTCGGTATTGTGTATAGGATGTCAGAAATGGGTGCATAAGAGATGTAGTGGTGTGAGGGGGGCACTGAAAAAGGTGGAAGGCACGTTCAAATGTAAGAAATGTGTTCATGGTGTGATTAATAGGACGGACGCAAGGACGGGGTTGAGTGATGGTATTGAAAGAGTGGAAAGCTTTGTTTACTTAGGAGATAAGCTGAATGCGGATGGAGGATGTTTGAGCGCAGTTACGGCTAGAGTTCGTGTGGGATGGATGAAATTTAGGGAACTGGGTGGGGTATTGTGTGGAAAGAAATGGTCAGTGAAGATGAAAGGGAGGGTATATAAAGCATGTGTGAGAGCAGCGATGATATATGGTGGTGAAACTTGGGTGTTGAGGAGAGAGGAGGAAAGTGTACTGCAGAGGGCTGAAAGAGCTATGGTGAGGATGATGTGTGGGGTTAAAGTGAAGGATATGAGGAGTAGTACAGAGCTGATGTCAATGATGGGACTGAATGAGGACATTGTGACATTGATAAGGAGATCGAGATTGCGGTGGTATGGACATGTGTTGAGAAGGGATGAAAGGGTCGGGATTAGGCGAGCGTTGGAGTTCGAGGTTGAAGGAGTGGTAGGAAGGGGTCGTCCGCGATTGGGATGGAGAGAGCAGGTGGAGAAGGACAGGGTGAAAGCGGGGTTGCGTGATACTGAGGCGAGTGACAGATGTGGATGGAGTCGAGGGGTATTTCGGTTTCATCATAGGTAGCCAAACGGCAACCCCCGATCTCGGGGAAAATGCCGTCTAAACATGTGTTGTTTGTTGTTGTTGTATATATATATATATATATATATATATATATATATATATATATATATATATATATACTCCAATATTTTTATTTATTACTAAATTTGTTGAGCCAACTAGTGATTTAAATAAACAGAACAGGAAAACTCTACTGTCCAAGTAGCTTGGCGACAGATTAGATTTTACTCTGTTCTTCTAAAACATTTGTCTACATCTAGTGGCATACCGAGAGTAGGGCGAGGGGGCGGACCTTATTGGCCTTCAATTCGGAGCCCCGTCTTGTATGAATGTATGTATGCTGTAGTTGAAAAATAGAAGTATGCCAAATGGCCAACTTAGGGCTTTAACAGACCCTGGAACAAGCACTGAGCGGTTCTGCCTCCCAGGGTTAAGCCCCAATAATCGTACATAATGATGATAATGCACAATGGCAGCACTATCCACAGTATAAGACTAACTTACACATTATGTATGCACGCGCAAGCACAGCATCACACCAGCATGGAGTATGATAATCTCTGTTTCGGAGGAACATTCGAACCAGTCTATCGCATAATAACAGTGCAAGACTTCAGCCGACTAAACCAACTTGCTGACCAATTTGACAACAGACCGTGTTTTTTGAGATAAAATAATTGTTTTTATATATAGATTGAACATTTATCATAAAGTATAAAGTATTTATCATTGTTTTTATCATAACAAAATATCTACCACTATTTTCAATCCAGATGTTGTATTAATACATATTTTTTAAATTACAAAACCTTGATAAAAAACACAAAAAACAATTTAAAATTAAAAACCTGAAACATTTTTCTAGGCATGGTAGCTAAAGATCTGATCTGACATGTAAAATTTCAAAACCTTAAAACGATTACAAAAATTATAACAAGTTTTATGAATGATAACATTGAAGGTTTGAAAAATTTAGAAAATAAAAAAAATTATGGCAGAGATAATGAAGACAAAATAACGTGACGTCATCGGTAAAATCGGACATCGTCACCCCGTCTGGATTCAACAAGCGGATTACATACACTGCTTCTCAGTTACGCAGTTTTTGCAAACCCAGTATGTTATATATTGTTAGAAGTGTCAGGAACATATTGTTCAGGCTGAGAATATGGCGTCCCAACTCCAACAAAAAAAAATAAAGTCGCTAGGCTCGTCATCGACGATCAACCCAATGTTTCTTTCGGTACACTCAACACTCGTTCCGCCACTCGCAAAGCGGCTCTGATTCACGATACGATTTTTGATCGTCAGCTTGATATCAGATGGTCCCAATGTCATAAAGCTGGATATTGCTCCGGAAGATTTTTCTGTTCTTCATCAACATCAAGGCACACGCAACGACGAAAAAGGTGGTGTTATTGCTTTTATTCATCGTGATGTTATTGAATGTACCAAAGTTGCATCAGATACATCGCCTTATTTTGAACATTTCACCGTCAAATTACATTTGACTCAGCAACCAGTTTACATCATCATCATATACAGACCTCCTGGTCCTATTACATCTGACTTCATCCACGATTTTATGACCTAGGAAATGATACTCTTTCATCCAACAAAAGATTTATCTGCGATGATTTCAATGCTCCTGCCTCTCAGGGCAACATCAACAATGAACTACAACGAATCATTGACGAATTAAATCTCACTCAGCATGTAATATATTATTATTATTATTAACGAAAAAAATATCATGGCATAATCAACAAAAATAAAGGGTTATCAGTGCATTTCAACGAAAAAATTATAAGAAAAAAACACAGTCTTTATTATTTCCTTAATCTAACATGGCACAATAAACAAAATAAATCACTCCGTTATAACTAAAACAAGTCAGTTCAATGAATTACGACGAAAATAAGTAAGTTTTCAGTTTTCTTTTAAAATCAGGCAGGTTCAACTCCGGATCTCTTAGAAAGGCAAGCAAATTGTTCCAAACGGACGGTCCCAAGACCGCGATGTTACGAGATCCAATATGAAGACACGAAACTGGGACTAGCAGCAGGTTCAGATCATGAGACCTCAGATGTGTACCAGGAGGTGCCAACTTCTTTACAAACATTTCTGACAAATAAGATGGTGCAAGACGATTTATTGACTTAAAGACTAGAGTTGATATTTTGAAGATTATTCTTTCTTTACGGTTAGCCAGTGCAGTTTCAGTATTGGTGATACATATTTTAAACCGCAGACAACAACCTTTGCAGCACGATTCTGCAATGACTGTAATACAGCTAAATGTTTATCAGATAATTCGTAAAACAGACTATTACAATAATCAATTCGTGAGTGCACGAAGGCATGAACCAGAGTCTGCAACGTAGTAGTGTCAAGAGATCTACGTATTTGATTGAGCTTTCTTATTTATTACATGCATTCAACGGAAAGCATTCTAATGTGATCTTTCATTGACAAATTAGAATCTAAAATAAATCCCAGACTAGTAGCTTTTTGGCAAAACGGGATGACACTGTTTTTGATGATTGAATCAGTTTCTAGCTTCAAAAGCAGTGGCCACGTACCTACCGGCAAAAGTTTCGTTTTACTCTGATTCAGTTTAAGAACATTGTTTTGTATCTACAAATCAACTTTTGATAAACATTCAACCAATCCCTAACCCTAGCCCGGAAAGTACCAGGCTTACTGGTAACAATGATTTGTATGTCATCCGCAAATGCATGATATGAAAAACCAAATGATTCGATTACTTTGAATACTTCAGATGTATACAGAAGAAACACAACAGGACCCAGAACCGAACCTTGGAGCACACCAGACAAAACTATATTGACACTTTACCACCAAATGATACTTGCTAAGTTCTACCAACCAAATACGATTCAAACCACCTTAACACAGCACCAGAAAATCCAAAAGTAACACACAATCTCTCTAAAAGTATTTTGCGATTTACACAATCAAATGCAGATGACATATCGAGGAACACCATCATAGACGTATTCTGTTGATCGATAGCCCCATAGACATCAGACAGAACCTTTAATAGAGCCGTTTCAGTTGAGTGGTATTGCCTGAAACCTGATTGATAAATCGGCATTAAATGATTATTCTCTAGGTGAGTGAGTATCTGTTTAACAACGCGTTCGATTATTTTAGATATGAAAAACAGATTGGATATCGGTCTATAGTTTTCAACATTATTCTCATCAAGATTGTGTTTTTTCAGTAGTGGAGTTATTATAGCATGTTTGCAAACAGAGGGAAATTTACTTTGATTTAAACACATATTGACAAAGCATGTCAAAAATTGCGAAAATAGATTAATAAACTTTTTGAGTATGTGAGTCGGTATTGCATCTTGTTGAGAAGACTTTGTTGGTGAATTTTTTACTATGTTGATTATATCTTCCTCAGAAACATCAGAAAATGTTGCGAACAAATTTTTGAGATTTGATCTGCAATCAGACGAGTTAGACAGAACTTTGATTTCGATGCTGTCCATCACCTTACTCAGTTTGTCGTTGAAGAAGGACATAAATCGATCCGGCGTGAGCTCATGCATACTAGAAGAATGATTGTCATTATGATCTCTGCAGAGAATTTTATTCAAAACTTTCCAGAGATTTTTAGGTTATGTCTTGTTCTCCTCGACAATCCTAGTCCAATATTTATGACGTTTCTCTGAAAAGTCTTGATTTATTTTTCATAGCACATCTCCATTCCTCACGATGAACTTGTTGCAAACTATTTTTAAAAATTCGTTCTTTCCTTCTACAAGCACGTTTACAAAACCTGCACTCATCATCAAACCACGGAGCCAATTTAACGCGATTGGTGACTACCATATGAATTGGTACAACTCTATTGATCACACAATTTATTTTGCTGGTAAACAACTGCAGTTCTTCATCAATATTCTCCGTTGAACATGGTTTTGATATTGATGAGTCAAGAACAAGTTTAATGAATTCATCTTCATTCAAACGATTCCATAATTTGACTACTTTTTTTATTCTTGACATACAATTTCAAGTCATTGATAGTACAATTTTAATAAAACCATGATCAGAGTGGATTCCACTTGGATATACTAAACAGTCTTGGACAGGAAGATCGACTGAAGTGACTAGTAAATCCAGTGTACCACCATGCATGTGCATATTACATTTTCTAGCACCAATAACAGCTCGTTAAAAAATAATGTAGATAATTGTGCAAAACCCGGTCAATAAATAGCGAACAATATAAACTCCCGGTTGTTGGTCGTAAATTTGACAGCTAAAACCTCAAACGTGACAACTGCAGGTAAATCAATTTTTTTGCATCTCAAATAGTTACGGAAAAAAGATTAATCCACCATGCAAAGGATCATAATTTCTCACACAATCCACAAAACGATAACCAGGAGGCATTGATAGTGCATTGGATGTATTATCTGAAGACCCATGCCAAGTTTCGGTTACAATGAAAATATCCAATCCATCGCATCAAATCATAAACGACATTAAACTTTGTAGAAATCGACCTTATATTTAATAGACCCAGATTTAATTCAACCTCATTAGAACCAGCAGATATATCAAAACCAAGACCTTCACCAATACTACCACTACCCATCACACTCCTAAAAGCAGCCCAGCCACAACCCAATCCATCAAAATTGTACATGTGTTTTGTGGATCTAGAAAAGGCTTTTGATCGAGTACCGAGGAAGGTCATTGAATGGGCGTTGAGGAAGAAAGGAGTGAATGAGAGACTTGTTAAAGCTGTGATGCAGCTGTATGAAGGGGCAAAGACAAAGGTGAGGGTTGGAAGGAGGATGTCGGACGCTTTTAGTGTTAAGGTAGGAGTGCATCAAAGATCAGTGTTATCACCGTTTCTGTTTGCAATTGTGATGGATGTTGTGTGTGGAAACATAATGGAGGGGTTGTTATTTGAGATTTTGTATGCAGATGATTTAGTCTTGATGGCTGATGGCATGGAAGAATTGCAGTTAAAATTTGACAGATGGAAAAGTGTTATTGAAAAGAAAGGATTAAAAGTTAATATTGGTAAGACGAAGGTAATGGTGAGTGGGGAAGGTGGGGAGCGAGTGATAAGTAAAATAGACCCCTGTGGGGTATGTGACAGGAGAGTGAAGGCTAACTCGGTATTGTGTATAGGATGTCAGAAGTGGGTGCATAAGAGATGTAGTGGTGTGAGGGGGCACTGAAAAAGGTGGAAGGCACGTTCAAATATAAGAAATGTGTTCATGGTGTGATTAATAGGACGGACGCAAGGACGGGGTTGAGTGGTGGTATTGAAAGAGTGGAAAGCTTTGTTTACTTAGAGGATAAGCTGAACGCGGATGGAGGATGTTTGAGCGCAGTTACGGCTAGAGTTCGTGTAGGATGGATGAAATTTAGGGAACTGGGTGGGGTATAGTGTGGAAAGAAATGGTCAGTGAAAATGAAAGAGAGTGTATATAAAGCATGTGTGAGAGCAGCGATGGTATATGGTGGTGAAACTTGGGTGTTGAGGAGAGAGGAGGAAAGTGTACTGCAGAGGGCTGAAAGAGCTACGGTGAGGATGGTGTGTGGGGTTAAAGTGAAGGATAAGAGGAGTAGTACAGAGCTGATGTCAATGATGGGACTGAATGAGAACATTGTGAC